AGATAAAGCATTCACTAAGGAGCCAAAGAAGGAGACAATGGTTGGAAAACAAAGATCAGTGAATCTGTTTCTCTTCTGTTTGCCTAAGAAAGAATAAGGCTTGATCACAGCTCAGATACTGATGGTTACACAGGTGTCTTACTCCTCTATGCAGGATAGATATCTGAAATGAAGATGGATTCTATCCCAGTACTACATGGTCTCCATATTCTATCTTGAAACTCCTTGTTTCTACTTGAGCATAGTAGAAGAGACTCTATGCAGTGTCAGATCCATCAGCACAGAAAAGCATCTTGGACCTAAGATAGGTCCATTCAGGCAGCTCAAAGCTATCAGTGTCAGTATCTTGGTTACAACAGGAGACAAGTAGAAAACATTTAGGGGTAGAGACACATTCTGAGCCATACCCTCCCTACAGTGGCAATTCAATAGCTTTAAAAGCTGAGTGTGAGAAGAACAAATCTAGTCTTTGTGCACAGCTGCATCAACAAGGGAGGCACATGCACACATGCGCAGGCACATAATGAAACAACAGCTTCCCAGGGGTGCCAAGGGAAACAAGAGCAGGTAACTAAAAGGCCCGAAAAGAACAGGAGGCTGATGAGCCATGGAGGAGAATGAAAATCTAAAACTGATCCATGACAGTCATATAAAGATGTAAACACTTTTCAAAGTTCATTGTTGTTTCCTCTCTCCATAAATTATCGCCATTATCTCCTAATTACCACCTTCTACCCTTTGGTGCCTTTATCAGTTTCTCTTTTGTTGATTTGTATCACAGGGGTACTTGTGATAAGATTCCTCTTAACAACTGCAGACACTGTATCTCTACATGTACTTGTTCCATTTGCATTACTTGACTTGCCTGGCAATGCTACTGTCCTTCAAATTATTTCAGATGAAGGCCGAGGGGGAATGAGACTACCTAGCTAGGACTACAACATCAACATTCATTTGGCAGTGAGTCATGACCACTTAATCACCAATGAGACCTCATCACTTCTGTTTCTTTTTGATCAAAATGTTGTGCTGTATCACACCTTGGCTCATTCCAGGATAATACATTTCAGGCTCCTGAATGGCCCGGGTTGCAAAGGAGCACAAAGCTCATCCAGTTCCAACCCCTGCTGTGTGCAGGTCGCCAACCAGCAGCCCAGGCTGCCCAGAGCCACATCCAGCCTGGCCTTGAATGCCTGCAGGGATGGGGCATCCACAGCCTCCTTGGGCAACCTGTTCCTGTGCATCACCATCCTTAATTAGCTGAATCCCACAGATTTATAACTAATTCCAGGGTTTAGAAAAGGCCTGCAAAAATATCTAGTCCAACTCCCCTGTCATGGGCAGGGACATCTCCCACCAGACCAGGTTGCCCCAAGTGCCATCCAACATGGCCTTGATCCAGAGATGGGGCATCCATAGCTTCCCTGGGTAACCCATGTCAGCATTTCACCACCCTCATCATGAATAACCTCTTCACTCAGAGGGTGGTGAGGCACTGGCACAGGTTGCCCAAGGAGGCTGTGGATGCCCCAGCCCTGCAAGCATTCAAGGCCAGGCTGGATGTGGCTCTGGGCAGCCTGGTCTGCTGGTTGGTGACCCTGCACACAGCAGGGGTTGGAACTGGATGAGCTTTGTGCTCCTTTGCAACCCAGGCCATTCTATGATTCTATGATTCTTAATCAGTTTCTACATGGCAGAAAGTCCACTGAGGACTGTTGACAGCTACAAAAGAGTCCAGCAGAAATTTGTGCAGCTCCACAATAAAACAGAGACAAAAACTGGAACAAAGGGAGACTGATAATACTGATATAAGAAATAGTCTGGCCCCTCCTCCTGGAGAAGCTGAGGAATCATTCCTCTTCCACTTTTCTTTTCAGCATTTGGCTTTCATTATCTGTCCTTATCACTTTAATTCCCTCTCTAGAGCAAAGGAGTCAGATTCTGGGTCCTGCTGAGATCTCATTTTCTTCAAATTCTGTTTTTCAAGCATACTTTGTAGGTGATGGCTGGACAGGTTTGTACACATAGGGTTATCACATGCTCCTTATTTCTTTTCATACAAAGGCATCTAAAGAATTTAAAGCATTTAAGAGGAAACAGTCAACATAAAATAACAGGAAAAAAAGAAAAAGGAAAAAAGAAACAACAGAAAATCTCAAGGCAATCGGTTTCTGAAGCATTGCAGACAGAGCCAGCAGCAGGGGGGGGGAAACAGTACTGTGAAAGATAAAACAGTAATAAGCATAACAGCTGGGCAAGAGAAGCAGAGTGGGAGAAAAAGGTGAAAGCATCAGAGCCGTGATTCTTTAGGACTGGCTGTTTTCTCTAATAGAGCACCATCCTTGCTTTTCACGACCCATGGTTACAGTTGTAGCTTGAAAATTGTGTTCTGTTGGACCTTATCCAGATGAGCTGTGGGGAACCATTTAGTTTATGTCTGCATTCACAGATGCTGAACACAGCAAGGGGCAAAGCAAAGGCAGGAGGGTTGAGTTAGTGCAAAATATAGGAACTTATAAGATGTTCTTCCACTTCTAACTTGGTAGTGCATCGCATTTCATGCCGTACTTTTTGCTGCACGAAACATTGCTGCAGAGAAATGGACAACAGAATCTACTATTACTATCATTAGTTTTTACCCTATGTAGTAGGAGTTGTAGAATCAGAGAATCAGAGAATCATCCATGTTGAAAAAGACTTCTGAGACCTCCAACCAACAACCCAATCCCAGCACACTGAACAACTCTCTGTGACGTAACTGTTCTAGATATTGTAGATTACAATACTAGATACAGATCACACAGTTTGGGTTTGTGTTTTACATGCAGTTATTTGACTTTTTATCACACGTAATAGAAGACTATGGAGCTACATTGCTTTCAGAGCAAGGTAGTATAGTTTAGCTCATTGGCACAGTACCTGCCATCATTAATATCTTACTGTTAAAAACAATTAAGAAAAGGTTACTACCTCTTCATCATATTTGTTCAAGCAATGCTTGGTGACTTACAAGACAGATTCAACTATGGTGAGCAGCACTCCATTTCACTAAGACTGGCAGCAAAAATGCTTTGGAAGTAATTGGGTGCTTTCCAAATACTCATTGTGGGGGGAGTATGTCATATTGTACATCACTTGCTAGCAGTCACCAGCAAGGTGTTCTTCTAAACAGAGTAAGCAGTATGTCAAAGTTTTTGAGAAAACAGGTCTGTTGATGTCCCATCCTGCAATAATGGAGATAACGCCTTGTTGGAAATGAGAGTGGCAGGATATAGCTTAAAATAAGGATCAGACTTCAAAAGCAAGTCTAGAAGTTGAGGGCTTAAAAGTGGTAGAGTGGGATGTTACAGTACTAGCACTGAAGATGAAATGAAATGCACGTAAAACACTTCCACAAGAACTAATGAAGATATGGAGAAATGGCAGCAAAGAGGATCCTTTGAAAGAAATGGCTTTCAAGCAAGAAAAAATCCAGAATTTTTCACTGGAAAGCAAACATCTCAGATGAAATGTGGTTTCTTTTCCTAAAGTCCTGTATACAGTAAAACTCACTGCCTTCAGAAGTGGTGAACAGCAAAAAAAAGTGTGGGCAAATTTATGAAACTCAAATTCATTGCCCCTGTGCATTCAACAGTTCTGTTCCCACTGCAGAGGCATCACCTGTTTACCTTCATGTATTATTCAAGAGAAAAGAGAAAATGTGAAGCAATGAGCAAAGAGCCCCTCTTCACTTGACACATGCCCCAGAAGATAAAAGCATAGTAAACCTGGGAAAAGTTGATGGAGCCAAAAAATAGATGGGGAACAAAATAAAGAGCATTACCACTTTTGCTGAGGTAGTGCTTGAAAGGATGTAATCTTTCCCTACCCGTGTGGGTGATACATTTTCATCACACTAAGATGCAAAAGGCTTCCCAATGGCACTTGACCTCCTCTATTTCTGAGCTGTGCACTTTGAATTTGAGATAGGTAGGACACGGAGTTTGATTTGAATGGTACCTGGGTTACCAAAAAGCAGAGGGTTATTCTGGATGTGAGTTACAAAGAACAAGCTATGATGAAATGGTCTGTTTTGACCCTGAGGGTTGGTAGTTAGGGTAATATGATTAGGTTGTGGTTGGACTTGATGATCTTGAAGGTCTTCTCCAACCTGAGCAATTCTATGACTCTATGATTCTGTTATCTGCATCATACCCTCTCTTGCTCCTGGGCTAAAATATGTAGGCAGGTAAAGAGGAGGGAGATCTCCTCTCTTTTCTGACACACACACAGCATGTTTTATCTGCAGTTCTCAGCAGTTTTACCCATTCAAGTCACAGCAGAAGCGTTTTGGACACGACTCAGAAAATAAGCCCTGATTTCCAATTAGCTGCTTTGTCATTCTTTGCCCTTCTCTCATTGGTGCTGGCCATCGGCAGCTCCTGCTGCAGTCAGTGGGAATCGAGACAGGATATTAAAGCATTAATTTCTTTACTTGCTGCCTCAGTTTCTTAGCACTCTTTATCAAGATTACAGTCACCACAACATTAATCCCTGTGACAAAGGTCTTCAGATCGTGTGACAGAGAGGCAAAAATTATTACTGACGTAATGAGGGGGAATGAGCAATTGCTGTTGTAGAGCACTTGAAGCACTTACAGCCTAATCCCCCAGCAGCCCCAACATCCTATCAAGACATTTCCTTCCAAGGCACACTGATTCTTGCTGCTGTTGTCGTTATGGTTTTGATTCATTTGGTCAGTATATATCACTGCATCACCTAATGTATGGAAGCAAATCCCTGACCTCTGATAATAACCACCTATCAGCATAGTATGTCCCCACTGATTGATTTTTTTTTCTGTCCTTACAGTGCCTCTTTAAGCTTCAATAACTGCAGTGATGGCACTTTTTCCAGTAAGATGTTTGCAATGACATGGCTGGAAAACCCTGCAGGCATAACAGAAAAGGTCTGGAAACCCTCAAATCAATGCATATGGCATATCCCAAGCTGAAACTCACCTGGAGAAGAGTCATTAAGAGGGTTCAAAGCAGCAGCCCTCCGTATTTTCTCCAGACAGGTTTCTTGCTCCTTTTTAATTATGCAGTTAGAATGTGTTGCTGTAACCTGAAATGGGAAGAAAAAAATGTGGTGAAAGAGCAGTAATAAACGTAAACTAGCTGGAGAGCTTATGAAGAGACATTGGGAAGTTTTGATGTTCCCTTCCAGAAAGAAGAAAGTAATAAAATCTTTAATAGATGAAACTGCAACAGACTTCTTGATGTTTATTTGTTTGTTCTAGACAGAAAGCTTAAGAGTGTTCCTGACTGTTTTTAACGCTGCCCTCTATCAAAGTGCAATCTGCAATGTGTTTGCTTTGCTTTATTGCATTTTTTCCTCATATAAAGCAGAAGCAAGGTTACCTCTAAATAAAGAAATAATGTAAAGAGGAATTAGAAATCATTTGAGGCTCTGTTTGATCTTCTGCCACTTTCTTATGAGTCTCACACTATCCATTAACCTCACTCAGGACCCTAAACTAAATTAAAGTTCTTGCTCCCAGTCTTTCACCTCGTCCATTCTTTAATGCTTCCTTCTGCCTTTCTTTCCAATGAATACAAGGCAGCTTGCTTGCCAAGACCAAAATGCAATGCCAGTGCAACTGAAATGACTCGATCCAAAACTTCTTTTCTATCTTTATGGCTTAAGGCAGCCCACTGCAATAAAAAAAAGGAAAAAGAAGAGACAAAAAAAAAAAAAAAAAAAAGAATGTATAAGAGGAACATTGTGGCCAACAGAACGCAGGCAATCCCAAAGCAGCAACAAACTGAAAATGGGACCCGTTCTCAGAAATCAATAAAAGATTTCATTCCTGTTGCAGAAAGTGGCTAGGGGATATCAGTTCAAGGAAAACACAATCTCAGGTTTCATTAGACCATTTCACAGGGGTACTGCTAAAGTTCCAATCAAACTCAGTGGAAAGTCTCATGAAAATCCACACGCTGGTTGAAGATGGGGTCAAACCAGCTCACTGCAAGCTACTTGGTTGTTCTGTATTTCCCATCCCATTTTCTTCACTCTAGATAACGGAGGATAACTTAGGAGTGGTGTGTATCTGCCAAGTGATAAACAGAAACAAGCAAGTAGGGAAAACAACACCTGAATCCAATCTGTTTCTGTTTGTTTTTGGAATCCCATCCACACAGGTTGCCTTTACTTCCCTCACAACACCATAGATGGAATGGAGGGAACGGTTTGGGTCACTAATGCATCAAATAACCAGCACACACTTTATAAGGGTAGATAATGGCAGGACAAGAGGAGAAGGTTTTAAGTTGAAGGAGGGAAGATTTAAGTTGGATATTGGGGGGAACCTCTGTACTATGAGAGTGGTGAAGTGCTGGAACAGCTGCCCAGAGAGGCTGTGATGCCCCGTCCATCCCTGGAGGTGTTCAAGGCCAGGTTGGATGGGGCCCTGGGCAGCTGGTCTAATATTAAATGTGGAGGTTGGTGGCCCTGCATGTGCTGGGGGGGTTAGAGATTCATCATCCTTGAGGTCCCTTCCAAGGCCATCCTATGATTCTAACACATGCTTACAACACATCCCACAGCATACACAACCCAAGTATGGTTATACTTGGTTGTGCTCTTCTGTATGCAAAGAGGCAGGGACCCACTTGCAGACTTTTGGCATTGTAACAGTTACCAACTCTACCACAAAGAGAGGATGTCACAATGAACCTCTAATGGAAAGCCTTCCTCACCACTGGAAGGAACTGCTATTGCTACACTGTTCCACCTCCAAAATCCCAGTAATAAATTTAAGCCCTCTGCCCCATGGGACACACCAAGCACAACCATATTAGAGTTGTTTTTCTTCAAAACAAAACACTTTCTGTTTTAAGGGCTCCCAAGGGCCTGGAAAATATATCCTGTCACAGACCTCTACCATCTCTCAAGAACATAATGGTTTTTACTACATCATCCCCTGAATCTCACCAAAGACAGGGAAATTTCTTTGGTCACACAGCTACCCATGTCTGAAAGGAGTGTCTGGGAGCTGTCTCAATATAAGAACTTCACACTTCCTATGCAGTTCAGCATGTACAGATTACAAAAGCTTTGATTTTGTAGTTGTTAAACCTGCAGAGGCAGAATACAAAGAAACAATAAGAAATGTCTCTTTACATGTTTATTGTTAAGCTGCAGAATTCTCTGCAGCTTCGTATCATCGATGTTGAATGTCCATTGGAGTTCACAACATATCAAAGGATGGATGGATTCAAAGTCCATCACAGGATACGAAACATCAGAAACCCACCGCGTCCAACTTCTGGCCCATGGAAGTAGAGAAGAAGATTTAATTTAATCTATAATCAAAGGACAGAAGAGTGTGATTTACCCTTCAATTTTTTGCATCTTCTTTAGTCAGTAGGGACCTTTGTGTGCTGATGGGCAGTTGGCTGAATACGAGCCAGCAGTGTGCCCAGGTGGCCAAGAAGGCCAATGGCATCCTGGTTTGGGTCAGGAATGGAGTGGTGAGCAGGACCAGGGAAGTCATCCTGCCCTGTGCTCGGCACTGGTGAGGCCTCACCTCAAGTGCTGCGTTCAGTTTTGGGCACCTCTGTACAGAAAGGACATGGAGGTGCTGGAGCAGGTCCAAAGAAGGGCAACAAGGCTGGGGAAGGGCTTGGAGAATATGGCCTGTGAGGAGAGACTGAAGGAACTGGGGCTATTTGGTCTGGGGAAGAGGAGGCTGAGGAGAGACCTTACTGCTCTCTTCCAATACCTGAAAGGTGATTGCAGCAGAGCAGGGCTGGTCTCTTCTCACTGGTGACAGGAGGAGAGGAAATGGCCTCAAGTTGCACCAGGGGAGATTTAGGTTGGATAGCAGGAAAAACTTCTATACAGAAAGGGTTGTTAAGCACTGGAATAGGCTCCCAGGGAGGTGGTTGAGTCACCATCCCTGGATGTGTTTAAATGTGGTAGATATGGTTAGCGTGGTATAGTTTGGTTGTGGTTGGACTTGATCTTTAAAGTCTTTTCTAACCTGAGCAATTCTACGAATCTAACAGACATTAAAGAAGTTATCAAGGAACAATGAAACTAAGATAGAAAACAAAGAGAAGGAGAAAAGAGCAACCTCAGTGAGAGAATAGGAGCTGCCTGTCATCTCTGCTAATTAGCAGTGTCTTTTTCAGAGAAAATAAAGCCATGTTTGGATCGCTTATAACAAAACATTTCTTTGTTGAAGGCAGAGATGCTTTCAGGTTATCATGTTCTCCTGAAAGGATCCATATGTTTCACGTGTCTCCACTCGCTACGTACTGGCAGAGTTTATGTCTTTCATCTGTCAAGCCAATCTTTAAGAACTGAACAGCAGAGCACAGCAGAAATGGCAGCATATGCTCGAACTCCATGGCCTCACGATGTCAATTCTTTTGCCTCAAGGACATTTACGATTTCCTGAACTCATTGTAGGCAGTCTGGTGGCTGCTTCCCAGAAGATATCAGTGACACGTGCTGTTAAGAAATATTTTGACATGTACCAGAAAAAACGAGGTGGAAAACACAGGAAGTTCACATTTAAATTTGAAAAATATGTATTACTCTCAATGAAGTAGAGGAGATTGACTCACACCAGTTTTGAAAAGGAATATATCTTCAATAGATTTTTAGTTCTTCTATTTCTCACTGCTCTAATCTAAATAAATTACATTATTCTTCCTGCACTGTTTTGCCCTTCCTGTTTTGCCCTTGAAGGTAATTGGTGAGTGATCTCCCTGTCCTTATCTCAACTCATGAGCTTTTTTTCACTCTATTTTTTCCCCATCGCTCTGAGGAGGCGAAGACATCAGTGTGGTGGAGTAAATCTGACCACCAGTGTGAAACCACCACTCGAAGTCTCTGTAGATGTGCAATACATCGACAGCTTTCATTTATTCCTCTTTTATTCTTATTAGAGCAATCGCCACAGAAATCAACCTGTGAGTGATGGTTGATCCCTTGACAATAATTTTAATAACTCATGTTATCATGTAACAGCACAAATATACTCTCTCACATCTCAAGGTGCTGCTCTAATGGGAACTTCTCTGTTACAAAAGCCACTATTAGTGCACAAGCCTGAGCTGCACGTCTGCCACATCCAGACCTGACCTAGCCACATGCATGCATCAGATTAGCAACTGTTTAGAGCCAACCATTCAAGCAAGGCATTCCTCAACATGTGGATGCTCCAGGGAGGTAACCATGTAGAAGGCATTATGCAGATCAGAAGGCTAGCATACACTTTTTTATGGAAATAAATAGGTGTAGACAGCTTCTTTCAGCAGATATTCTCCTTCTTTCAAGAACGCCAAACACTGGGAACAAGAGAGGTGAAGATAAATTTGTGAGCAACTTCTTCCTCTCCACACAATTTCTGTATTGCAAAGGTGACATGGCAAGCTCCTTGATTTGGTGCATAAAGGTCTATTTACAGAGCACTGTAATAACCTTCCATCTCTTTCCAGCATGTATAATGACTGTGCCCTGACTGAGGTATGGGGTGATACAAGTCAGTGATACTGCTTCCTGGGCCCTCATCCCATGTAAACCTGCAAGTGAGGAGAGAATAGTCCTGAAAACACATCCAAGTAGCACAAAGCTTGGCTGAGAGTAGACAGCTCCAAGAGAACAACACTGGACTGCATTAGGAAGATGCTTCCTAATCACGGGCATTGAGGAACACGACATATAAACATAAGCAGAGCACCATGCTTAGGCAGCTGTTCTGGCTGCATGTATGACACTATTTGACATATGGCTATAACCAAGGGGAAGAAGTTAGAAGACTCAGTACAGATGTCTAGACCATTTAACGTGCCTTAGGGTATCTCACTTCACCTTCAGTTGCTGCTGTCAGCACTGGACTTTATGTTTGTCCTTTGTCAGGATATTTTGGACCTTGTAATGCACAGCTAATGGAAAAAGGCTTTTACACTTCAGCACTTGACTCATTTTCTAAGTTATATATCAAGTACATGAGCAACTTCTCAGACACATGACAGGACATTCTTTATGAAACGGAACGCAATCGTTGTGCCACATTCATATTCACTGAAAAAAATGTGTGCATGAGAGAG